AAGGATGATAAAGTTGGTTTGAAGAATTGTAGTAAAAATACCCTTATTTTGAAGGGTACCTCACCATTGGAGGTTTATCTTACCTTCAAGGACTCTTATTATTGTTATACATTTTTCTTACTTGTAATTCATTTTAGTAATTATTGTATTAGGATATTTTTGGCCTTGTATTTTGGGTCAAGTAGTGTACATAATTTTGTCCTTGTATTACTTGAGGGTGTAATTAGTAGATTAGGTGAGGTGTAACTAGCAAAGTCTTATTAGACTTATTTGGGCGCTTGGATGACCCAAAGCTTTTTATGGCCCATAGGTTTAGATGTTCACTTGCTCATGCAAGTGGTTTGGGTGTCCAAACCATGCCAAGCTTGCCATTTAAGCTACAAATTAAGTCACATGATTTTCATAATGACATCTTAACAAACTTGTTAAAAATAATTAATGGGCTCCTTCCTTCCATGGTTTGTGCTTTGGCTTCCAAGGAGGAGCTCCCTCTTTCTCCACGGACTAGGAGGAAGGATGATGATTGGATGTTCCTCAAGGGTGGTGGAAAAACTATATTCAAGGGTGGAGGTCAAGGTGGGCGAAAATGGAGAAAGGAAGGTGGAAAGTGTTTATGGTGCTCTTGGCTAGCGCTCTCCACCAAGGAATGGTGGAGGCCACTCAAGGGAACTCAAACTCTCTTTAGGGTAGAGAGGAGATGAGGTTGGGCGTGAGGACCCTACGAGACTAAGGAAGGCTTTTGAGGCACAAAGGCTCACTCAAAATGCATACATTCCAAAGTGTGTACAAGGTGCATGGCCTAGAGTACTTATAGAGAGAGGAGAGCATCTAGGGTGTCTTGGGAGTCATTTGGCCAAAAATTTGAAGCCCAAATGCACCATAAATTAACCCTAGATGCAGCCCAAATGAAATGCCTCTCATCTCTCCAAAAGACTAAAGTACCCTTAGGCCTAGAAAATGAAAGAGATGGACTTTTGACCCTACAAGTCAAGGTTTAAGTCCTAAAATAAATTATAGACTAATTTGCCCCATAATGCAAAGGCTAAATAGAAAATAAAAATTAAAATCCTAATATCTAATGTACCCCAAAATACAAGGGCAAAATAGGAAAGGAAAGCGACAAGCTAAGGAGAGGCCCAAAATCCACACACATGTAGTATCATGACTTTATTTACTTTATGTAAGTATACATATTTTAGTTATAGCTCTTTGGGTGAGAATAACTTCTAACAAACTTTGAAATTAAATTGATTGTGTTTGAGGTTAAAGGTACAAAATAGAATTTGGATATCAGAATAATTGATTTTACCACTACCTACTCGCTTGGAGACTGAAAAGAATTTTCAAAAAACACCATTTACATAAATTTAAAAAAAAAAAAAAAAACATGAATTAGATAATGGATAGAGATGGTAAATGTAAAAATGGGAGACATAAGGGAGAAAAAAGTATACAAATGTGATGAATGTGATAACTAAAGAAGAGAGATAAGGAAAGATGTGAATCCAAAAAATTGAATGTGGAAAGAATGAGACTAAATATATAATAGAACAAAGCTCGGGCAAACAACTGAAATTCCATTATAATATTAAATTCCAAAGGTCGTATTTGACATCAGGAAACATCGAAATAAGGCTTTTCATATTGATTTGCTAAAAGGCTTGACAAACCAAACGATTATCGTGGCACTTGCATAGGTACAAAGAACATATTTTTAAAAGTGACAGTAAAATTAACAGATTGGAAGAGGAGCTCCATTCCATTCCCCGAGGCATTCCAGAAGAGGATCAATAATTTTACCCTGGCACATTGCTGTGAATAATTTGTCACACTCTTCACCTGGTGACCTCACCTTTTCTCCAGTTAGCAACCCAGTTCCTAACTCCTCTCTCACAAACTTGTACAGTGGGTAAGATCTGCATTCTTTGATCTTGTTTGGAATTGCAGCCTTTCCACTCTCATAAGCAGCTCTTGCACTTTCAACCTCCTTTGGCAAGAGAGCCTTCAACTCCTCCTCAAAGGTTGAAATCTTTTGAAAGATTGATGTGTTCGCATCCTTCTCATTCTCTGCATTTACCAATGCATGATCTACAAGCACTTGCCTCAGTTTTTGCATCAATGGATAAGTAGCACTGCAGGGATCATCAATATAGGAAAATACATACTCCCTATCAACCACTTTTAGCAAATCTTTCTCACAAAATCTTGAAGGATGGAGTTCTCCATTCACACCTGTGGTGAGAGTCCTCTTGGAAACTAGGCTCACAGTGCTCTTGACCGAGTTTTTCAAATTCTCCTCCAAATGCCTCAAGTCAATTGCTTGGCAAAGGGCAATCAAGAATGTGGAAGACATGAGCTTAAGGATCTCGATAGATTCATTTGTCTTCCTAGATGAAATCAAACCCAAAGAGTTCACATCTTGGTTGTGTTGCTCGGCACTTTGGACATGGCTTGTTACTGGATTTGCAAGATATTGGAGTTCAGAGCAGTAAGAAGCCATGGCAATTTCAGCTCCCTTGAAACCGTAATCCAAGCTAGGATTTCTACTAGCGGTGAGATTTGAAGGCAACCCATTGTTGTAAAAATCATTGACAAGCTCAGAGAATTGAGCAAACATGAGTTTGCCAATAGATGCAAGAGCCAAACGCGTGTTGTCCATAGAGACTCCAATAGGGGTTCCTTGGAAATTACCACCATGCAATGCCTTGTTCCTTGAAACATCAATCAGAGGGTTGTCGTTCACAGAGTTAATCTCTCTCTCAATTGACTTGGTTGAGAAACGAATCACTTCAATGAGAGGGCCGAGCCACTGTGGAGAAGTTCTAAGGGCATATCTATCTTGCTTTGGCTTTTGCAAGGGGTCTATCTCATGCAACTTCTTAGCAGCTTTCATGTAGGAACTTCCATCCAAAATGTGCTCCATAATAGCAGCAGCCTCAATTTGACCAGGGTGGTGCTTTAACTTGTGTGTCAAATGGTCAGTGAATTCAGGTTTCCCTTGCATCACTTCAGCAAAAATAGCTGATAGAACTTCAGACAAGACAGCTAGTATATTTGCCTCAAAGAGAACCATGGAAGCTAAGCCAGAACCCACAGCTGTGCCATTCACAAGGGCAAGGCCTTCCTTGGGTTGCAACTCAAAGAAGTCAGAATTGATGTTAGCCAATTGAAAAGCCTCCTTAGCGTTGAGTACTTCTCCAGAAGGTCCAACAGCTTTGGAGTTAGGTCGGCCAGTTAGCAAGCCAGCAATGTAAGATAGTGGAACAAGATCTCCAGAAGCCGTGATTGTGCCACGAAGAGGCAAACATGGGGTAACGTTGTTGTTAAGGAGCTTCGTGATGGCTTCTAAGATTTCGAATCTAATGCCTGAGTACCCCTGAAGAAGAGTGTTGATTCTCACTAACATGGCTGCTCTGGTTGCAGTGTGTGGCAACGTGTGGCTTGATTCAGTTCCATTTCCAAATATTCCAGCGTTCAAAAACCTGAAGAAGAATAATAATTAATTAGGATTTTTGTTTCAATTTTATGGTAAACTAAATCCATCTTCAAGAAAGCATGTTCCCGTCGTATACATATGTTTGTAATAATAATAATTATTATTATAAAATAATAAAAGAGAGAGAATGTAAAACCTTATATTTAAATAATTATTTTACACTAATAACGTCTTTTAGTTTTCTAAACATGAAAGAATACTAGCGATGACCCACTTTAGAATCTCAGCTTAGTTAGTTAAGGAATTTCATTAAAGCCCTCCAACTTAAAAATAAAATAAAACAAAATTAGAAAGTGACATCAACAAAAGAACCGGAGTCAAACATGATTGACGATTCATAGTAGTTGGAATGATGGTCGCACCAACCCCTCGTCTAATTAAAATTACTATTTTTACCACAATTGTGCCAACTCCCAAACCCCATAAATAATTTATTATGTTTTTTCCTCTGTTTCAAATTTCAATCCATGGGACAGTTACCCCATCAAAGTCACATTTCCGGACGAAATCATTATTTCCCGGGATGGTTAACTGAGTCAGTCCCCTCTGCCGTCTCATATATATTTTTATCAATTAATAAATTATTGGCAATGAATGGAAAAAGATAGTGTTAATTTATTTATTGGAAGAAAAAACAAGAGTTTAAGTTTGGATATATTTTTGGGCGGGTAGATGGAATAAAGAGAAGAAGAAGGTACGTTAGAGGAGTAGATGCGTATAGTTTAGTTACCTGATGAGTTCCTTCTGCAAAGCACCACCTTGTTTGGTTCGGCGGTGTGACGTGGCACCAAACCCAGTTGTGACGCCGTAACTGTCGGTCCCGTTGTTCATGCTGTTCATCACCCACTGGCTGCTCGCCTTAACGCCCTCCCTCGCGGACTCCGACAGCTCCACCGCCACTCCGCTGTCGTGTGCAGCCACCGCCGCCACCTGAGCGATGGTGAGGGTCTCCCCGCCGAGGCGCACCAGCGGGTTCCGGTAGTCGGCGAGCATGCGCTTGACCTCGTGGAGGTGGCTCCCCTTCATGGCCTCGGCCGCAAGGCCCCAATTGAGGGGGTCAGCGTCAGTGTGGAGGCAAAAGGAAGCATTGTTGGTGGGTTCCATGGTGATGGTGATGTATGTATTATAGTATTTGATGGAAGAGAAAGAGAATTAGAGAATGCAGAGGAAATGTTAGGGTGTTGTTTCCTGAGGTAAGAAGGAGTTTGGTTGGGGTGTTATATAGAGGTGAGGTGAGGTTTGTGTGTTGTCATGCAGTACTGTGCTTGGTAGGTAGCTCAAGCCTCAAGGGAAGACCAAATGGGGTTTGTTGAAAGTTATTTCCACCCCTTCGATTCCCACTCCCCCTTCACCGGCTACGATTTCGCCACGTGGACTACCCTATTCGCGTTTCTTGGTAGCTGGGTGGGGTGGCGGTGGCGCCCATTGCCCAACGGAGTAGACCAAACAAAATAGAGGTGGTTGGTGAGATGATGATCATGAATATGATTCATGATTCATGATTCATGATGGAGCCAAGTAGGCAACAGGGAAGTAGGGAACTACGCCTACGACGTCAACCCTAACATGCATATACCCATCTACTCCTCCTCTCCTCAACTCTCAACTCTCAACACAACCATTTTTTATTTTATGCTTTCATCTCTATTCTCTATTTCATTACTCCCATGCCAAATCATTTTTTTTTTATTTTCTTCTATTTTTCTAAAAACAACAATGTTCAGTCAAGGCACGTGGGATGAAACAGTCACAAGGACTACATTAGCAACGCACCTACATCATATGCATCAGATTGAATGAGATCAAAGGTTACCAAGAATATAATAATCATACATTGCCACTCAACTCAACTGCCTCATAAACAATGAATCCACCAATTCTTTCACTAAAATACACTATTCTACAGAACAACTGTAATTTAAACATCTTAAATTTAAAGGAAGAGTTATAGTTTGCTAGAGATTTTATTTCACCTTTAAAAGAATATATAACTATTATCAATTTCATTTTCTCATGACTTATTTTGACAACTTAAATATTTTAGTAAAATCATGGTTGTTCACACACACGTCAGACATATTTACTATTTCTTTTTAAATATTAAAAACTAAAAATATTAATCAAATTAATGAAATTTTTTTTAGTATATATATGTTGTCCATTTAATTATATCAATCATTATATATATTATTTAAAGAATTTTTTTTTACATAATTATCGAAATATAACATGCAATGTTATATTTTATTGATTGTCAATAACGATGGAGATGATGATAATGATAGTAACAATGACTACAACTGTAATGATGGTGGTAGTAATAGTGATAATAACATTTTTTCTTTATTTATTTTTCACTCTCTATATAAAGAGCGATATTCACTTATTATAAAAATAAATTTTTGTAAACTTTATTTACTTAATAATATATATTTTACATCAAATTTTAATTATTTGAATTAAAAAAATTTAATGTATAGGTCAAATCTATGTATTTTTAAAAATTTGAAAAATATTTGATACTTCATTATATAACAATGTGTCATTATGAATTTTAATTTTTAAAATTTATAAAATTGATTTATATGTTAAAAAATTTTAATTTAACAGTTGAAGTAAGTGAACAATTTCTCTCTCTCTCTCTATATATATATATATATATATATTACATCAAATTTCAATGATCTAACTATTAAATTAAAAATTCTTAATATATAGATCAAGTTTACAAATTTTTAAAAAACTTAAAAATCATATGATTGTTTTTATATAGATACAAACCAATGTATAAAATATTTTTATAATATTATTTGTTAATTTGAATTAATAAAATAAAATATTATAGAATTTTTAAATTTTTTAAAATTTGGTAAACTTGATCTATATATTAAGAATTTTTAATTTAAAAGTTGTACCATTAAAATTTGATATAAAATATGAGTTATTGGATGAAGTAAGTAAAAAAAAATATTTACTTGCTAATAAAAATTATTAAAAGCTTTATTAGAATAATTAAATATAAAATTACACATCAAAACTAGCAACTAATTAAGGATCATTTAATTACATATATTAGGTGTTAATTTTAATTAAACTAATTAATTATACTTAATTATATTAATTGCATGAAAGTTAAATTACCGCATTACTCTTGATTTGGACTCAAAAATTTATTGCAGACAGTCTTTCTCTTACTTTTTAAATTTTTTTAATTGATTATTTAAATATTGATATTAATTTGTTGCCACATGTACAGTACACTTGATAATTTAATTACAGTCGTCAAATAAATAGTTGCTACTAAATTAAATTACACATATTAATTATATATATATATATATATATATATATATTTATTGATTCATTAGAAAAATAAAAACAAAGCATCACCTTGGACAATCCCTAAGGATGGAGTGTAGAGGAGAAGTAGCATCCCAAATACATAAAGATTGGGATTCGCAGATCAAAATTAGCAAGATAGTGATTGTTTATTTGTCCATCGTAAATCACACTAGTCACTTCCTCACCATATATAGCCACCGTCTAATTTATAGTATTTTTACAGATTTAATCGTTCAGTGGATTTTTCAAGGTTGACCCCGAAAATTAACCTAATTTAAGTAGAATACAAGTTTGACTCGTAACTAGGTGAATTCAATACACAAGATTGACTTATATCCGCAATTAACTTAAAGAGTTTACTATCGGGGCTAGAGTTAAAATTCGATCCGTGATATATCTAAAGAGAATTGATTATAAGAGTTTAAATAACTAATATATCCTAGTTTAGAAGAGTAGTTAATTAGATTTAACCCTCTAATTTATGTGATGATAATGAATGAGAAAATATGTAAAAGGGAAACGTGAAGTTCGTTTTGCAAAAGTTAAAAGAGTGTGAACTTAAAAATAAATGGTGGGAACAAACATTATTGAGGTAAAATGATATGAGAGAAGAAAATGGGTGACATGGTGGAGCACTGTGGGCTTTGGCTCCTTCTTGCTTGCATCTTATCTTACCATGGAAATTTATAACCCTAGTCTCATCTCTGCCTTAGTCAACCATTAATTAGGTGGAATCTCTTTCTATCTTTTTATTTAGTGCCGGTAATGCATTTCTTTTTTTTAAGTTTTGGACACTAAAAGGATATCAGAGATGACAGTTTTTATTTATTGCGTTTTCTTTATCAGAATTACCCATAGGTTTTGTATATACTACTCTAACTTTCTATTATTAAATCAATTTTAATAATACAGATAACAGTTATGTAAAATTTCAGTTATTAAATTCATATATTATCTTCTTTTATAATTCACTAGAACACATTATTTGTCATATTTATTATTATTATTATTATTTATTTTTCTATATCGTTCTCTTTCATTCACACGTACGCTCAAAAATATTAAAATTAGGGTATACACTTAGCATTTTTTTTTTGTAAATTTTAGAATAATGAGATTACATTTTAGTTTAAAAGTTGTACGTAATTTCATCCTACTTAATAATTAATTTCTCACCAAAAATACTATTTTCTTATAAATGTGGATTTGAGTTTAACTTTATTTTACAAAACTATATATTTTCATGATAAAAATTATTTTTACTTGTGTATAATTTATTTTAGTTAGGGTCAATACTTTTTATACCAAAGACCAAAATATGTTAAAGATAAAATTAATTGTGTAAATAGTTTAACAATGGATAACATTATTAATTAATAATAATTATTATGATAAATTCTGATATAATCTTAAAAATATGAGATTTTTTTTTTTATCATATCTTTAGTCAACGTAATATTTTCAACATGGTGTGAAAATGATTTTTTAAAACAAGTGTTTTGAAAACTAAAAAACAGGAACAGTTTAAAGATTTTTTTTCTTCTCATTTTCTTTTCTATATATTTTGCGATCATAGTTCGAGGACGTGGATCATCTGAATAATCAAGTTGTATGGGGTAGAAAATGAACTTAGGGTGTGCCCGTGTGCGTGTTTATTTTCTCTCGACGAATATCTACATTAACACAAACCATTGTAATACATTCCTTTGGATTTGGAGTTTAAAACAAGGGATTAAAATTCTCCACTTATCATTTCACACACACATCGAAATGAAATCGTCTGTTAAAATAAATCACATGCAACTGTTTTTTCCCCCTTTTAATTACAATTTTATTTTCTGGTGTCAAATAAAGGGACTTGAAGATAAGTATGTCAGCCTTGGACTAAAAAAAAAAACAAAAAAGGGCGACCCAGTTTGAACGCACGATAAAGCATTAAAAGAAGAAAAAGTCCAATTTTATATTAGGTGAGGAAAGAAACATGTGCGATGCTGCAGGTAAGGTTCCATGTTCTCTGTAGTATAGGCTTGAAACACACGCTGCTTTCCACCTACCCCTTGCTTGTACTAAGCTTCCACGTATAATCGTGATTAGTCTTCACACTCATGACTCCATCGATGCATGCAGAGAAATATCCACGTAAATTGATGAAATTTCAAGTTTATCATATATATGGACCAATGGGAATTAGCTTCAGTAGAAGAGACTATTCTCGCGATATGATAAATTAAACTTCAAATCTTTGGTTAAGACAGGTGTTCACGAATCACGATTAATTTATATGATTCACCTCAAATAAAATGGTCTCCTAATTAACAAGAATTAATACTTGTGAGAAATCAAATAAGTTTAACATCATGCATGAATAGATTTTAAAAGGAAATCATGATTTAATTTATTTATTTTGAATACACGTATTTGTTTTATTTTTAATTAGCACAAAAGATACACTTTATGCCTATATTAAAAATAAGAATAAAATAATAAATAAAAGTAATTAAAGTTATATATATATATATATAAGTGTACATGGTTAACCATTAGAAAGTCGTCTAAGAAGTCTTAAATAACTATATATAGAGGTAAAATAGGATAAAAAAATTTATTAACAGTATATATAGATATAATATTTATTTTGAAAAAATTGACAACTCACAAAAGTTAAATTATGGGTATAAATATTCTGGATGAACACTAATAATATGATGTATTATATATATAGAATTTAATTATACGTATTAATAATTTTTTTAATTATACCAACGTAATTATTTGTTGACGTTATATTGAAACAAAAATATATTTGCTAATAGACAAAAAATTGTTAACCGTTAAAAAAACCTCTATCTTTCTCCATTAAAAAATTAAA